AGTAGTGTCAATTCTAGCAGGACACGGAGGAGCGAATTAGCGGTGTAAGTGTTCGTCCTACACTTCACCAAAATAAAAATACATCAAAACTCAGTTCTTTGCACGATTTAAAAAATTGCCTTAAGCGGAACATTGTTCTCGTATCTGATTGTTCGGTCTGCTTCGCTTGACCACCACAGAGGTAGCAGAGCAGTCATTTCCTTCACATCGTTCAGCGCATCTCGAAGTCGGCCTCGAACAACCATGCGCACGCTCGATCGAGGTCTGGACAGAAAAATTCCTATGCGTTAAATCGCGCAACAAGCACTCAAACTGCTTCACTATTAGTGGTTTCAAGAGATGGTTGGTGTACTGGATAGGCGAAGTAACTTACTCTATGGAAAACCTCGTAGATGTAGGTTTGATCAATTCGAAGGCCGTAGAGTTTATTTGTCCCACAGTCACTGTCAGCCGCTCGTCGAAAGAGGTGTTAATCAAATCGAACTTAGAAAAAGAAGACTGCAAATTTGCATATAGAGTAGTATAGAAATGAGCACAAAAATGATGAACACCTGGCAATTCTGGTCTTGACGTCGAAATACGACTGGAACGCCTCTAAACTTCAAAAGCTGTTTGACAATAACGGTTCTAGGTCCTGGCACAGACGACTGATGAGGTTCCTGGAAGAGGAAAACACGAATTTCAGACGAAGTGCTGAAGATGACGTAAAATGCATTTTAGTACCGCACACTGAGTGTGTCGCCGACAAAGAGGACTTCAGATTCTTGAGTGGGTTCATTGAAGGTGGAATCGAGCACGAGAGGGCCAGTGATGTCGCGTGAGAGATGGAAGGAAAAAAGCCAACGCTGAGAGAATCGAGTTTCGGGGGGGGTGTTTCGGGGCGGACGGAAACTGAAGGGTAGGTGATGTGTCTCGCCAGGCTCAATGAGAAGAGGACGTGGCGGTACAAGGTAGGAGAAGACGTTTTCCACTCCTTCCACGCATACAGGCGTCGCACGCCAATAAAGGCGCCATAACAATGAGAGTCGCCTACGAGATGCGGTGCTGGATGTGAGACTACCGCTGCCTTCTTCGCTCTGGGAACCATCCGACGCCGCCAGCTCAATCTGGAGCGTTGCGGCTTTGAAAGACAATGAATAAAATTAATTACATTTCATAGGTGAGTGCCACCCGCACTTATCGCTACTTTTTGTTTGAGGAATAATTTCTGTATGTCAAGAACTTACAAGTAAATAGCCCAGGTCGGCAGGGAGCAAAGATGAGTTGAGAATCGGGGCGAAGTGTAACTGAGGGCATTTTCAAAGGATGAAGGGGAGAGTCCAAACTGGGGAGTGAGCAGACGTGAATGGCATTGCAAGGTAAGGCAGCAGGGGATGGAGAGACGGTGTCATGTTCACGCTGAAGGGAGACAGGACTTTCCATGGGAAGGAAGGATGGACGATCCAGTGGAGGGTCAGCGCCTCTGCTCGACCATTCCATCTGAGGAAGGAGACAATCTGATTAAATATTGATAGTGATATGCCAGCAAAAGACGGTTTTCATTAAGCCATATGAATTTCAGAATGCCCAGCTACCTAATATTTAGACTGCAGCAATTGAAGTCTAGAAGCCAAGAGTTACTCGATTGAAAGGTATGATGACAAAGTACTTGGGTAGTGCTTCCAAGGGAAGTGGGGAGATGGGATTGGAAGTCCTCCTCCATGTGATGGCCAATGATGAGAGAACTCGAAGCCTCAAAGCTGGAAGTGGATGCCTCGGTGAGTAAGGGGTAGATGGTGAGACTAACTGGAGCGCGGGAGCGTTGTTCGTCCTGTAAAGCCCCATGCCAGTTGTAATGACCCTCCGAGACAGAGAGGGACATCTCGCCTGTAGAGGATGCACATCTAGCGGCAAAGTTGACTATGGAGTCGTGAATGCATAATTGCCATGTAATTACCCGACATGTCTTGAGTTTCTCCATCAAAGAGCCCCATAATGTAGGCAGAACGAAGACGGTGGTGGGGTCGCGGCAGTTTTCGCGGAGGCGAATGCTCAGGTTGACCGGTAGCTGCAAACCTAGTCAAACGTTAAGTAGCATATCGGCACCAATACTAACAGTGCGGCACTGAAATAGCCTTGTTAATAGGAGCCAGTAAAGCAAAAAGTCATTTATATTGATAAATTAGACTTTCAAAGCTAAGGAGTAATTGGAATAGAAATATGAAAGTTAAGAAAGGTACTACAACCTACATTTTTCTGCATTGATAACGCAGAATTTCGTCGCCATTGTAAAAGAGCACTTGGACCTCAAGAGGCTTATCCCTTATAGAAATGATGACGTCCTAAGAAGCAAAACCCATTAAAACACTAAGAATTGGCAAAACAGTAGGTTTATAAAATTAAGTAAATGTTCTTTAGAGTTCGAAAAAGCGCAAAAAAATTTTCCAAAGAAGTGTTGAAATG